CTTTGCATCGGTGCCCTGCCAGGGGAAACGGGTGATGGAGGATCACAATGAAAAGCGCTAACCGGTGTGGCTCAGTGGATAGAGCGTCGGCCTGCGGACTGAAGGGTCCCAGGTTCGATTCCGGTCAAGGGCATGTACCTGGGTTGCGGGCACATCTCCAGTGGGGAGTGTGCAGGAGGCAGCTGATCGATGTTTCTCATCGATGTTTCTAACTATCTCTCTCCCTTCCTCTCTGTAAAAAATAAAATAAAATATTTTTTTTAAAAGAAAAGAAAAGCACTTTGGCAGGGACAGCACTCGGCCACAGCGTCCAGGTTATTCAGAGGAGAAAGAGCCCCCTCCTGTTGAATAGGAAACAAAGGCTCCTGCTTCTGTTTCCTCGTCTCTCGTCGGTGATGTCAGTCTTTGGGGATTTTAATTGGATATTCCGTGTGGGGTAAGATTCAGAGGAGAGTTTAACTTCCAATCCCAACTGGTTAATTGAATTACTGTCGCCCTTCTCTTCGTGACTGAATTCATTTTCTATATTTTATTAAATTTATGCTGAGTAATTATTTCTTGCCTACCAGGCAAGAAAAGCCTTTGAGCCCGGCCGCTTCAGTGGTTGAGCGTTGACCCATTGAACCAGGAGGTCACGGTTCGATTCCTGGTCAAGGCACATGCCCAGGTTAGAAGCTGGATCCCCAGTGTAGGGTGTGCAGGAGGCAGCCGATCAATGTTCCCCTCTCATCAGTGTTTCTATCTCTCAATGCCTCTCTCTTCCTCTCTGTCTAAAATCAATTTAAAAAATCAAAGAAGGGCATCTTAAATATGTGCAATGTCTTCCCCTCAGAATTACATTCATTATACAACATAGGAAAGTGCAAAAGGAAAAAGTACACCCCAAATCTAACTACTTTAAAACTATTTCCCTTTTTCTGTTCCCACCAATCATTGTCTATAAGTACATATACTTTTTAAAATATATTTTATTGATTTTTTTTCACAGAGAAGAAGGGAGAAGGACAGAGAGAAACATCGATGAGAGAGAAACATCGATCAGCTGCCTCTTGCATACCCCTGACTGGGGATGTGCCCGAAACCAAGGTACATGCCCTTGGCCGGAATCGAACCCAGGACCCTTCAGCCTGCAAGGCGATGCTCTATCCACTGAGCCAAACCAGTCAGGGAAGCACATATACTTTTATAAGCTCTAGATAGAATATGTCTAAATGCACCAGGGGACATGATATGATCAAGAGATATGGTAGCCCGGCCTGCGTGGCTCAGTGGTTGAACGTCGACCTAAGAACCAGGAGGTCACGGTTTGATTCCCAGTCAGGGCACATGTCTGGGTTGTGGATTCAATCCCCAGTGTGGGGCGTGCAGGAGGCAGCTAATCCATGATTCTCTCTCATCATTGATGTTTCTCTCTCTCCCTCTCCCTTCCTCTCTGAAATCAATTTTTAAATTTTTTTTAAAAGAGAGATGTGGTAAACAAGATGTATGAGGCTGCTGCTTTAGAGCAAACCTTTTTCTATAAGTAGAAGGACCATACTCTAAAGTAATGATTTATGATAGTACATACATAAGCCAGAAACAGTCCTTTATTATCGCTACCAGGTATTAAGTACCGCACATAGCTATGTGTGCTATACTTTTGTACGACTGGCAGCGTGTTGGGCTCATTTACACGGGCATCGCCGAAACACATGGTTTAGTCTCATGCTGTTCTGTACAGTCACGTGCTGGGCAGGCTTGTAGCCGGAGCAATAGGCTGTACCTACAGCCTAGGTGTGCTGTAGGCTGAACCTCTATGATGTTCGCTAAACAACAACAACCGCTTCACAGAATATTTCTCAGAACATGTCCCCTTCGCCTTAAGTGGCACGTGAAGGAAGGAGAAAAACAACACCCCTCATCCATCCTACAGATGAATCCCTGGATGGATTCATCTCATCAGCAAGGCTCCGCTGGATTGGGCAAACAGACCAGGCCCCGAAATCAAGGGCCTTATTCTGTGACCTTACGCGTCACTTCCCCCTTGGGGTCCTGCGTTTCCTTCCTTTGGAAATGAGGTTGAACTAGCCGTTCTCCAGGGTTCTCACATTCTCCTCTCTTCAATTAGTCGCTTTCCCTCTGCCCAGCATCCTTCCCAAAGGAACTCAGACATCAAGAAGCTACGGGGTCTGGACCCCCCCGCTGTGGGAGGGCAGGGCCAGGGGGGACCTCTCTGAGCTGTGGGCAGCCTTTGAGCCGAGACTCAATTCTTTACTTCTATTCACAGGAACAGAAGTCTCACCTTGAGGGCAGAAACGAAATCACATTAGAGCTCCTAGTGATTAAATTCCCTGCAGCAACTCGGAATATAAATCAGCGGCTAACTGGATGCACGTTTAGTTGCTCACAGTTGCAGGTTCTTTTGTCTCCGTCAAGAACATTAAAGACACGCTTGTTCACGTTTTTATAAAATCCTGGAAACAGCAAACCGAACATTTGCAAATGATCAGTTGAGCTGTGATTAGGCTCATTGGTATTCATCACTTATTGAGAGAACGCTGCTGATGTCTCCGCTATCGCTGTGCTTGGAAACCCAGGCCACTAATAGGAATAGAAATTCCAGGGAGGCAGGAAAAGGACACACAGCAGGACTGGGCCCTCGCTCACAGGCCGCTGTGGCTTATGGGTACTCCACGTTGTGAATAATTCTTCCTGAAATTGAAATATTAAACTGGTCTGTGTCGTAATCCCAGCTTCCCTGCTCTCTAGCTGTGCATTTGGGCAAGCCCCTTGATCTCTCTTTGTACCTCAGTTTCCTTCCCTGTGAAATGGGTCATTGGGAGGTTTAAATGGATGCAGGTTGTAGAGCATTTAGAACGGTACCTGGTGCACAGTAAGTGCTACAGATGCAAGGAATTAGAGCCGCTGCTGTGGTTCTTTCTCCCTACGCAGGGGGATGACGGCATCTTCTCGGCTGTGTCTCCCATCATGTCCAAGGGCAAGGGACAGACAGGGTAGAACTATTGATATAACTTGAGTTTTAAATAAAGTCATTACCCTTTTAATATATATGTGTGTGTGTTTGTTTGTTTTTATTTCCGAGAGGAAAGGAGAGGGAGGGATAGAAACATCAATGATGGGAAAGAGTCATTGATCAGCTGCCTCCTGCATGCCCCACACTGGGGATCCAGCCTACAACCCGGGCATGTTGCCCTGACTAGGAATCAAACCATGACCTCCTGGCTCATAGGTCAACGCCCAACCACTGGGGCACGCCAGGCGGGCTAAAGTCATTACCCTTAGAACAGCTTCTTGGCAGGGTACTCCAGGAGTTTGAAGTCCTAAGCCTCAGTCAGTTCCATGGGTCAATCACTAGCACTACACCCATTTTGTCAAAAAGACAAGCAGTATTTTCCTAAGAATAATTCTCTACCAAAGAATCATTGGCTGGTAAATTTCCAGCTTTTTCAAGATTATTTTATTCAAACAGTTGGACCAGTCAGTCAACTCTCAACTAACTGTGCGATTGAAGTCAGGGCAGCCCATCAGGATTCTAAGTGGGCGTGTGGCTGGTGTGTGGCTGGCGTGTGGCTGACATGTGGCTGACGTGTGCCTGGCGTGTGACACACCAGGGGAAGGGCTGATCACTGTAAGAGTGATTTGGCATGTCCAGCCGATGTGGCTCAATGGTTGAGACTTGATCCATGGGCCAAGAGGCCACTGGTTCAATTCCCGGTCAGGAGGCTACCGATTGATGTTTCAATATTTCTCTCTCATTGATGTTTCTATCTCTCCCTCTCCCTTCCTCTCGCTCTGAAAATCAATTTAAAAAAAACAAACATTAAAGAGTGACTTGGCTAATCTATCAGCCAATCAACGTAGCTTTTTGTTCCTTTGAAAGTATACACATGGAAACCCTTCAGAATCCCCAAATCCATGCTATTTTCCCCACTACCAGCATTTTCAGAAGACTTGCTCACACACATGCCCTAAATTCTTTTCCTCTGGATGAAAAACCTGCCAAACGAAACCAGTTTCTTATTCTCCATCTTCAGTCAACACCAGCCTGAACCAAATATGAACAATTAGAAATGGGCCTTAGTCATTCTCAGGTTGAAAGAAAGCTACTCAGAGGCAATATAATCCTCAAAGCTGGCATCTAGTTGGTATTTTAAACATCAGATTTGTAAAAACAAACAAACAAAAGCATTTGAAGTGATAAATCTCCTGGAATTCCAATGGCCAGGTGCCTCCATTTTTTACTCCAAAGTGGGCTCCCCGGTGGGAGACCTGGTAGGGGCCACTGGGCTCGAAGGTCTGGACGCTGCGTTCCACAGGCTGAGCAATGGCGAGGAGGTCCCAGGAAGGTCACTGTTCCTTCCACGGGGCCTCCCTTCACGTGGACGCTTGTCATGAAGGCTGTGCATGTCCAGATTTGAGACTTCAGCAGAAGTTCATAGGAAGCTGCCATAACCGCCCAGCCGGCGTGGCTCAGTGGTTGAACATCATCCCATGAACCAGGAGGTCACAGTTTGATTCCCGGTCAAGGGCACATGCCCGGGGTTGTGGGCTCCATCCCCACTAGGGGGCGTGCAGGAGGCAGTCGATGAATGATTCTCATCAAGGAAGTTTCTATCTCTCCCTCCCTCTCCCTTCCTCTCTGAAATCAATAAAAATATATAGTTTTTAAAAGTCAACCTTTATATTGCTGCGTAATTTCAGGATTCATACCAAAAATGAGTGTAAAGGAAACAAATCTGAGACCATGTGAAAAGCGTAGTGAGTATGGGAAAATTATCGGTAATAGCCCAAATGCAAAAGGAATCTAAAGTCCTCCTTAAATTTTAAGTGTGTTTATGACGCTTCACTTCCATAGACCATCGTGCCTATATCTACAGGCTCCTGTATAAAGGTGCAAGAAAAAAATCACTACTGCTTCATTCTGGTGCATTGTTTTTTCTCTGAAACGAACACTGTCGGACGCACATGGCCTTGATGTTTCTTTTTTTTTTTTTTCTCAGATGAAAGAACTCGGTGTCATCTTCTACAACTGCAGCTGCCTGGTCCTGGATTTGCAAAGGATCTTCGCTTTATATAGTTCATTAAAATTCAAGAGCAGGGTGCCCCAGACCTGGTCCAAGAGGCTCTATGGAGTCTATGACAATGAAAAGAAATTGCAGCTTCAGTTGAACGAAACCAAATCTCAAGCCTTTGTGTCGGTGAGTTGTTGGGCCTGTCTCCTCGTCCACCCCCCTCCTGGCCCTTTGTTAAGTTGGGATGCTTGAGGGTGGCCTTATGTTGGGCAGCAACGAATTCGACAAGTCGTTTTCCATTCCAGTCCTTGAAGAGTTCAAATCTGTCCACTCTTATGTTCTGTCATATGCTGTCCCTAATGAGGATGACAAGGATACATGTTAGTAATCATTCCTGATTCCTGATATTTTGTGTTATCTGATTGGACCCTTAAATCATCCCTTAAGGTACACCTAGGATTGTGACTGTGTTACAAATGAGGTTATATCGGCCCGGCCAGCGTGGCTCAGTGGTTGAGCATCGACCTATGAACCAGAAGGTCAGGGTTTGATTCCCGGTCAGGGCAGAAGCCCAGTTTGCGGGCTCGATCCAGTAGGGGGCGTGCATGAGGCAACCAACCAATGATTCTCTCTCATCATGGATGTTTCTATCTCTCTCTCCCTCTCCCTTCCTCTCTGAAATCAATAAAAATATATTTTTAAGAAATGAGGATATTGAAGCTTATCTGCTATAACACAGGTGCCAGGAGAGCCACCAGCACCCAGGTCTTCTATACCAGACCCGTCTTTGATGCCCTGCATCAGCGATGTTCACACTTGTTTGTAGCAATAGAACCCTCTGATGAAAGAAATCTCAGGGAGCCCCAGTGTGTAAAACAGACAAACGTAAAGCTGTTGTACTTGATCGGGGCTGGAGGGCAAGACCACCACCCCACACACCTTCACCCAACTCCCCTGCCACCCCCCCCACCCCTCGCCATCCCACTGTCCCCACAGTGTTACTGGCAACGGGCAGTGTAATTATCTGGGCCTTCAGCCTGTCATCAAACTCTAAAGTACTGAGGAATCAGCTAGGAAGCCTGTTTTTTTAAAAAAATATGTTTTTGTTTATTTGAGAGAGAGAGAAGAAGGGAGAGGAGAGAGAAGAAGGGAGGGAGAGAATGTTTTTTAATTGATTTTTTTAGAGAAAAAGAGAGAGGAAACATTGATTGGTTGCCTACCATATACGCCCCAGCCGGGGATTGAACCCACAACCTGAGTATGTGTCCTGACCAGGAATCGAACCTGCAGCCTTTTGGTGTATAGAATGACGCTCCAGACCACCGAGCCACCTGGCCAGGGCAAAACACCATACACTTTTAAGATGGAAACCACTTTGAACAGCGAGAGAAAAATACCTCAAGTATAAGTTGCCTCTCTCTCATTTTGCTTAAGTCTCTTAGAATATCTTTTTTTCCCCCTGTCTCTCCTGATGAACGTGGGCATCTTAATAACTCTCTCTGTGTCTCCACTAGAATTATTGATGACCCTTTCTCAACAACCAATACTCCTCTTCCTGATTGATGAACGATTAGAGGAGGAAACCAAGCTTTTTAGAGGGTCTTAAACGTGTCTATAGCCATGTCACTGTTCAGATGAAATGGCTTCTGGGAGAAATTGCTTGTTATCTGTACGTGGTGTTACATGGCAAAGTCTGAGGAATTGGACAGCTATGTGTGACAGGGAGGCACACCAGGGTCACGTAAGTCTAGAGCTGGAGAATTCCTCCCCAAATCAGAGGCATGTGTATTGAAAGCAAGAATTCCCTCCCAGCCCGGCCAGCGTGGCTCAGTGGTTGAGCGTCAACCTATGAACCAGGAGGTCACGGTTAGATTCCCGGGCAGGGCACATGCCTGGGTTGTGGGCTCGATCCCCAATGTGGGATGTGCAGGAAACAGGCAGTCAATGATGTTCTTTTTCTCCCACTCCCTTCCTCTCTGAAATCAATAAAAATACATATATTTTTAAGTTCCCTCCCAAAACAGACTTAAAGGACAGACTTGAGACCAATCCCACCACACTTTGATGTCTACAGGCCTCAACTTTGATAGGATGGGAAATATATTTGTCTTATCTCCTAAAGAACTGGAAAGTAGGTTTGCAAAAAAAAAAGAGAGAGAGAGAAATCCCCAGTTGACAAAAGTTGATGCTCTAGCCCACTGGTCGGCAAACTGCGACTCGGCAAACCACGGCTCTAGCCCTAGCTGGTTTGGCTCAGTGGATACAACATCGGCCTGCAGACTGAAGGGTCCTGGGTTCGATTCCAGCCGAGGGCACATACCTGGATTGTGGGCTTGATCCCCAGTGGGGGGCGTGCAGGAGGCAGCCAATCAATGATTCTCTCTCATCATTGATGTATCTGTCTCTCCCTTTCCCTTTCTCTCTGAAATCAATAAAAATATCTTAAAAAAAAAACTTAATGCTCTAAAAGTTTGGTTTTTGTGTCTTCACAGAATTCCCCCAAACTCTTTTGCCCTAAAAACAGAAGCTTTGACATCGACGCCATCTACAGCGTGATAGACGACGCCAAGCAGTACGTGTACATCGCTGTCATGGACTACCTGCCCATCTCCAGCACAAGCACCAAAAGGTCAGTGAGTGCATGACCTTGACTTAGAACCTGGTCTCCAGGACCAGGCACCGAGCTGGGGACCACTGGGGAAGCCGGCCTGCACACTGGGATGCTCTCAGGTCATGTCAGGTCATGTCAGGTCACTCATCATTCAGATCAGCTGGGCGAGCCCGGCCGGCCAGCGTGGCTCAGTGGTTAATCATCGACCTGTGAACCAAAAGGTCATGTCACGGTTTGATTCCTGGTCTGGGGCACATGCCTGGGTTACAGGCTCAATCCCTAGTAGGAGGCATGCAGGAGGCAGCCAAGCAATGATTCTCCCTCATCATTGATGTTTCTCTCTCTCCCTCTCCCTTCTTCTCTGAAATCAATAAAAATATATTAAAAATAAAAAAGAAGTCCTAACGGGTTTGGCTCAGTGGATAGGGCGTCGGCCTGCGGACTGAAAGGTCTCAGGTTCGATTCCGGTCAAGGGCATGTACCTTGGTTGTGGGCACATCCCCAGTAGGGGCGTGCAGGAGGCAGCTGATCGATGTTTCTCTCTCATCGATGTTTCTAACTCTCTATCCCTCTCCCTTCCTCTCTGTAAAAAATCAATAAAATATTTTTTTTTTAAAAGAAGAAGTTGACTCTTGGAGCATAGGTAGAGTTGGAGGTGCAGTGAGGATGGCATGGGGTGGGGTGTCAGGGTGTCCATGCCCTCTGCCCTCACAGCCTGAGGCCTGGTGCTGGGAGACCTGGTTGTAGGCAGGGGCAGGTCTCCATAAAGCATCCTCTCTCGGGGCCCTTACCCAGAAGGCTCGCATTTTTTTTTTTCAACGCATCCTACAAAGTCACACATATATCACAGAACAAAGTAATGGTCGCATTAACGTCCGTGTTCTCGGAAGCCTAGTAAATCTATTTCCCAAAACTTACTTGCTTCCTTGATTTTCATCCACATCGATATTATTTCCACAGGACGTACTGGCCAGACTTGGACGGGAAGATAAGAGAAGCGTTAGTTTTGCGAAGCGTTAAAGTTCGACTCCTGATCAGCTTCTGGAAGGAAACGGATCCCCTGACGTTTAACTTTATTTCGTCTCTTAAAGCTATCTGCACTGAAATAGCCAACTGCAGCTTGAAAGTTGTAAGTATTCTGTTGACTTCGCTCTTAAAGAAAAGGTTTGTCCCTTTGCATAGCCATCCGTGAAAGCTGTAAGCACACACATTCCCACAAACTCCCAGTAAGAACAGGAATACCAATCCTCGAGAGAGAGAAACACTTTAAAAGGTAGGGCAGGGCTCTTCCGGCGTGGCTCAGCGGTTGAGCATCGACCTATGAACCAGGAGGTCACGGTTCGATTCCCGGTCAGGGCACGTGCCCGGGTTGCGGGCTCCATCCCAATCGGGGGCCTGGAGGAGGCAGCCGAGCAAGGATTCTCTCTCATCATTGATGTTTCTCTCTCTCTCTCCCTCTCCCTTCCTCTCTGAAATCAATAAAAATATATTTAAAAAGACAAAAAGCACACGGAGAGAGAGATTGGAGGACTAGGTGGGAGGCATTTGTGGGTTAGGAGGTGAGCGTGCCCTTAGACTTCATTCTGCTGCCCAGAGACCTGAGCGCAAGGTGGCCTGTGCGTGTGGTCAGGGAGGCAGCTGTGTCGCCAAGGAGACGAAGGAACAGGGTTGTGAATCATCACAGTCTGAAATCCGGGACACCCATTACCCCTTTTCCTCTCTTCCCACATAGAGCCCCTCAGCCCCTCAGTCCCTGCACAGCTCCCAGTTTAGGCCTCCCAGGGAGATGCCCTTCTCAACAGCCAGCCTCATCGCTCAGTGACAGAGAAACTAAAAACTACAGCAGCCCTGGCCGGTTTGGCTCAGTAGATAGAGCGTCGGCCTGCGGACTGAAGGGTCCCAGGTTCGATTCTGGTCCAGGACATGTACCATCGTTGCGGGCACATCCCCAGTAGGGGGTGTGCAGGAGGCAACTGATTGATCTTTCTCTCATCGATGTTTCTAACTCTCTATTCCTCTCCCTTGCTCTCTGTAAAAAATCAATGAATATATATTTTAAAAAATAAAAAAAAAAGAACTCCCACTCCAAAAGGGAAGGTGGGGAGACCCACAGCGGTCACTGGTCCGAGGCAATTGGACATCGTGCTGGGCAGCTGGTGTGAAGTCCTGGTACTCCTGCTCCTTCGAATCAGGGGCCCAAGGTGGTTTGGTGTGGTTTGTTTTTTAATATGTTTTTATTGATTTTAGAGAAATAGAAACATCTATGAGAGAGAATCATTGATTGGCTGCTTCCTGCTCACCCCCTACTGGGATTGAGCCCCCAACTCCAGGCATGTGCCCTGACCGGGGATCGAACTGTGACCTCCTGGTTCATAGGTTGATGCCCAACCACTGAGCCACACCAGCCAGGCAACAGTCACAGTTTAAGCCTCATCCAAGCACTTACAGTGTCAAGAGATCCCTGAGGCACAAGCCCACCGCCTCCTGTCAGAGCCTTCCCTGCCCTGGCACCTGGTGAGCTGGAAGGCGGTTTTGAGGGTCACATCATTGAAATTCAGGATTTCTGACATGAAGTTGTGATTTTTTTTTCACTTATTTGCCTATTAAAAGAGCCTTAGACAGAGGCTTGTACATGCAAAGCATTGGTTCCTTCGGCAGAAATCTCTTTCGACCTTTGCAAAGCCCCAGTTTGGTCAGCTAGTCATGGCCCTGGGCCACTGATGTATGCAGCGTGGAAGAATATTCATTGAGTTCCTGGACTCAGTGAGTGTCTTTGACAGTGCACCCTGGAGAGTCAGACAGTGAGAACTCAGCCACCTTCTGGCCCTCACGCTATTGAAAGAAAGACCTTTGTGTTCATTCCGTAGCTTAAAAGTGTTCATTACAGTTGAGCCTGCTAATTTTCTCTCTCGCTGCCTATTTGAGAACAAAAATAGCTTCATCTATAGGAGCTGACAAGACTGTGTTTTTATTTTTATTTTTATTTTTTTAAGACTGTTCTTTTAGCCGAAACCGGCTTGGCTCAGTGGATAGAGCGTCGGCCTGCGGACTGAAAGGTCCCAGGTTCAATTCTGGTCAAGGGCATGTACCTGGGTTGTGGGCATATCCCCAGTAGGAGATGTGCAGGAGGCAGCTGATCGATGTTTCTCTCTCATCGATATTTCTAACTCTCTATCTCTCTCCCTTCCTCTCTGTAAAAAATCAATAAAATATATTTAAAAAAAAAAAAAAGACTGTGCTTTTAATAACTCAATGTAAGGTCTGTTGTTGATATTGGGATCATAAACCCTTGTGTACTCTTGACCGAGACCAAACATGTTGCCCTAGCCCAGTGGTCAGCAAACTGCAGCTCGAGAGCCACATGCGGCTCTTTGGCCCCTTGAGTGCGGCTCTTCCACAAAATACCGACTTCTGCACAGGAGCCACGAAGTTTCAGTCGCACTGTACGTGCACACCCGCACATGGTATTTTGTGGAAGAGCCACACTCAAGGGGCCAAAGAGCCGCATGTGGCTCGCGAGCCGCAGTTTGCCGACCACTACCCTAGCCGGTTTGACCCAGTGGACAGAATGCCAGCCTTCAGACTGAAGTGTCCCGGGTTTGATTCCGGTCAAAGGCACGTGCCCGGGTTATGGCCTCAATCCCCAGTAGGGGGCGTGCAGGAGGCAGCCAATCCATGATTCTCTCTCATCATTGATGTTTCTCTCTCTCTCCCTCTCCCCTTCCTCGCTGAAATCAATAAAAATAGATTTTTTTTTAAAGAACAAAAGTGTTCTCTGTTCACCTGCTCTATTCATTTATTCTTTTGTGTCTTACAGAAGTTTTTTGACCTGGAAAGAGAGAATGCCTGTGCAACCAAAGAGGAAAGGAATCTCACCTTTCCTAAATTAAACCGCAACAAGTACATGGTGACGGACGGAGCAGCTTACATCGGTAGGTGCCTGGCCTGCGTGCGAGGCTCCTCAGGGATCCTGGGGTCAGTGGTGGCCCAGCTATGCTCTACCCCACGGCGGGGCGAAGAAGCAGAGCCTGGGGGGTGTGGGGGGGGGCTGAAGGTCAGGAAACAGAACAGTGAGGGTAAAGAGCTCCCCAGCCTCGCATCTCTATGGCTGACTCGCCTGCTAAGAGACCCTATGAGATGTTTTCTTTCCATAAATGATTTGCAGGAGTTCTTTGGTCCCTTTGCCTCATTTCATAGCTGAGGTGGTGACTGGCTCGTCACAGGTGAGTCCTGGCACCGTGCCCCTTCCCTACACACAGGACCACAGCCGGCCTGTTGTGAGTGACGGAGACAGGCATCGTGGGAGTTCAGTGCCAGCACCCCGCCGGGGCAGTAATCCCACCCCTGCCGTTGTTAAAGCGTCTAACCTTAGACAACGTATTTAAGCTCTCAGTTTTCCCATCTGTAAAATGGGCCCAACAAGAGCTTCTCCTGCATTGGATGAAGGGTAAATGGGAAACGATATGCAAATCATCTGGCCCGTGGATCATCCCGAGTCTTGCTAGCTCTGTTTATTAAGGCCGTGGAGTTCCAGATGCAGCAACCCCGCGTCCTGGTGGAATTACTCACTAGCGGATCAAGTCTGTTCTACTTTCCCACCATGTGTATCCGGCCAGGGCAACCCCTTCCGCTGAAACCATCACCGGCAGAAGGGAAACAGCATCATGTGAACAGCAGCACGGTCGTTAAACTTTGTGCGGATGTGGTGGTTTTTACGCTGTGCAGGTGTTAAAGCAGAGAGGAAAGGCACATGGATAGAATGAAGCAATTCGGAAACTGTTTGTTTTCCAGATTCAGTGAGTGAGTAAAAAATACGCCCTTCTCCCTTTGTAAGCACTTGCTCTTATTTTATTCTCTCAGCCACGTGGTCAAGAACGAGGGCAGTTTTTAATTACCCGCCCTTAAGAAATGAGGAGACCAGCCCTAACCGGTTTGGCTTAGTGGATAGAGCGTCGGCCTGCGGAGTCAAGGGTCCCAGGTTCGATTCCAGTCAAGGGCATGGACCTTGGTTGCGGGCACATCCCCAGTAGGGAGTGTGCAGGAGGCAGCTGATCAATGTTTCTCTCTCATCGATGTTTCTAACTATCCCTCTCCCTTCCTCTCTGTAAAAAAATCAATAAAATATATTTTTTAAAAAAGAAAAAGAAATGAGGAGACCTGGGCCATAAGATATGAAACAACTTAAACATGTGATGTCAGGGGAAAGGAGCTGGGGATGGAAGACACTGCAACACACACACACACACACACACACACACACACACAATACACACACAATACACACACACACAATACACACACACACAATACACACACACACACAAAACTTATACGCACAGACAACAATATGATTACCAGAGGGATAGGGGAGGTAGAAGAGAGTAAAGGGGGAGTAAATGGTGATGGAAGGAGACTTGACTTGGGGTGGTGAACACACAGCACAATGTACAGATGATGTGTTATGGAATTGTAAAAAGATTAAAAATTGCCAAACCGGTTTGGCTCAGTGGATAGAGCGTCAGCCTGCGGACTGAAAGGTCCCAGGTTCGATTCCGGTCAAGGGCATGTACCTTGGTTGCGGGCACATCCCCAGTGGGAGGTGTGCAGGAGGCAGCTGGTCGATGTTTCTCTCTCATCGATGTTTCTGACTCTCTATCCCTCTCCCTTCCTCCCTGTAAAAAATCAATAAAATATATTTAATAAAAAGAAGTCACGGTCATCAGCCACTGGACAGCGACGGCCTCCTGGCTCAGCGGGAAGCTGTTCTGCTGTTCCCACTGTGACTAGCTGTGTCACATTAGAGCAGAGTACTGGGATTTATTTAAATGGATATCACTTGGGTTCGAATATGATATTATTTCATCCCAGTGTCCCAAGATGCGGTCATTTGGATTTTCTCATATTCATCAACTTACGGAGAGTAGAATGAAATCTGCTTCTTTTTCTTTTTTTATTGATTTCAGAAAGAGAGGATGGGAAAGGGAGAGAGATAGAAACATCAAGGATGAGAGAGTTATCATTGATTGGCTGCCTCTTGCACGCCCCCTGCTGGGGATCAAGCGCACAACCTGGGCATGTGCCCTGACCGGGAATCAAACTGTTGACCTGGTTCATAGGTCAACGCTCAACCACTGAGCCACACCGGTGGGCAAATCTGCTTCTTTTTAAGCAACTAACGAAAGCAAACTCAAAATCGTTTAACAAACGCAAAATCGCCTCATCAAAAATGAGAACGTTTGGCTCAAGTATTGGGAAACACGGGGATGGGCCAGGTTCAGGCACCATGGGATTTTGGGACTCAAATCAGGACATTTTACCTGCAGGATTTCCTAAAAGTAAGGTGTTGCGTGCCTCTACCCAAGTGTTCTTTCAATGAATCAAATAAGTGTTTTGGAGTCAGACAAACCAGTTTTGAATTTAAACATTGATCCCAGTCGAAACATGGTGGGAAGCCAGGTGTCATCTCTATGTTGCTTCCTCATTTGTAAAATGAGATAACTATCCCCTCCTGCCCTGTGGTGGTGGAATGAGGAGTAAATGACATAATAGATGAAAGGCTCTTATCTGTGTAGGCCCTTAGCAAATAGTCATTCCTGGCTGTCTCCCTTCTTCCCTCATAATGCATATTTTAAAATAGACTGGGTTGCTCTGACTGGTTTGGCTCAGTGGATGGAGCGTCAGCCTGCGGACTCAAGGGTCCTGGGTTTGATTCCGGTCAAGGGCATGTGCCTTGGTTGCGGGCACATCCCAGTGGGGAGTGTGCGGGAGGCAGCTGATCGATGTTTCTCTCTCATCAATGTTTCCGACTCTCTATCCCTCTCCCTTCCTCTCTGTAAAAAATCAATAAAATATATTTTAAAAAAATAAATAAAATAGACTGGGTTGGGTTTTTTTAATATATTTTATTGATTTTTACAGAGAGGAAGGGAGAAGGATAGAGAGTTAGAAACATCAATGAGAGAGAAACATTGATCAGCTGCCTCCTGCACACCCTGTACTGGGGATGTGCCTGCAACCAAGGTACATGCCCTTGACTGGAATCCAACCTGGGACCCTTCAGTCTACAGGCCAATGCTCTATCCACTGAGCCAAACCGGTTAGGGCCAGAGAAGTGTTATTTCCAACACAACTGAGCATAAAGCACAGAGACTCCCTATATACCCCCTGTCCCCACACACACAGCCTCCGCCAGCATCCCCCATGAGAGTGGTGCATGTGTTACAGTTGATAAACCAACATTGACATCATAATCACCCAAAGCCCATAGATTACATTAGGGTTCACTGTCGGTTTAGTACATCCCGTGGGTTTGGACAAATGTATTAATGACGTCATTATGTGATGTATATGATGTCATCCATCATTATAGTATCACACAGAGTATTTTCACTAACAATCCTCCCTGCTCCACCTATTCATCCCTCCTCTCCCCCCACCACCCCCCGCAACTCCTGACAACCACAGATATTTTTAGCATCTCCATAGTTTTGTCTTTTCCAAAATATCCTATAGTCGTAGTCAACTATACGATATTTTCAGATTAGCTGCTTTCGCTCAGTAATGTGGACTTAAGTTGCCTTCACATCGTTTAATGGCTTGAGAGCTCATTTCTTTTTAGTGCTGAATGATGACTAACCTGCTCTAAACACCCGCGTGCAGGTTTCATACCAAGGAGCATGATTGCTGAAACATACGGTAAGAGTGTGTTTGGCTTTGTAAAGACACTACCAGGCTGTCTCCAAAGTGGCTGCACCGTTTTGCCTTCCCAGCAGCAATGCATGGGAACTTCTGTTGCTCCACAACCTCGCCTGCGTTTGGTGGTGTCAGTGTCTGGGTTTTGGCCCTTCTGAGAGGTGTGTCGCGGCATCTCGTTGTTTTAATTTGCATTTCCCTGGTGACGTGTGATGTGGAGCATGTCTTCATAGACTTGTTCGACATCTGTTGATCTTCTTTGGTGAGGTGTCTGTTAAGGTCTTTGGCCCATGGTTTCACTGGGTTTTCCATTTCCATATTGTTCCGTTTGAAGAGTTACTTGTCATTTTGGACAACGATCCGTTCTCAGACATGTATTATGTGCAGGTATTTACTTCCAACATGTGGCCTATCATTTTCTCTTCTTGACGGTGTCTTGCACAGAGCCAATTCATGAATTTTAATTAAGTTCAGTTCATCAATTATTTCTGTCATGGATCGCGCCTTTAGTGTTGTATCTAAAATCTTCACCCAACCCCAAGTCATCCAGATTTTCTCCTAGGAGTCTTAGAGTTTTGCATTTTACATTTTGGTCGATGATCCACTTTGAGTTAATTTTTGTGAAGGGTGTAAGGTCTGTGTCTAGATCAGGGGTGGGCAAACTTTTTGACTCGAGGGCCACAATGGGTTCTTAAACTGGACCGGAGGGCCAGAACAAAAGCATGGATGGAGTGTTTGTGTGAACTAATATAAATTCAAAGTAAACATCATTACGTAAAAGGGTACGGTCTTTTTTCTTTTTAGTTTTATTCATTTCAAACGGGCCGGATCTGGCCCGCAGGCCGTAGTTTGCCCACGGCTGGTCTAGGTTCTTTTTTTTAATATTTTTTATTGGTTTTTGAGAGAGAGAAGAAGGGAGAGGAATAGAGAGATAGAGCATCAATGACAGACATCGATCGGCTGCCTCCTACACGCCCCCCAGTGGGGATTGAGCCCACAACCGGGGCATGTGCCCTGACCAGGATTCAAACCTATGACCTCTCAGTTGATGGGTCAATGCTCAACCACTGAGCCACGCTGGCTGGGCTAGTTTCATTTTCGCATCTACCTGCCCTGTTGTCCCAGCACCATTTATTGAAAAGACTATCTTTGCTCCATTGTATTGTCTTTGCTCCTTTGTCAAGATCAGTAGACTGTATGTGTGTGGGTCTATTTCTGGGCTCTGTTATTGTAATGCATTTTTAATTGAGTTTATTTTACCCATAGCATTTTAGCAAGACGTTAATTCCCTAGAGCAAAGCATAATTCTAGTACAAAAATATTTAAAGGGCTTCAAGAGGAAAATTCATTGATAATTTAAATAAGCATCAGCATGTTCTGGAAAGCTCTTAAGTCATCACCCAGACACCCACTGAGAATTCTGAATTAAGAAAAATCCACAGTAGACCCTGCACAGAATGACAGCTCTATTAATTTTCACAAGACTTACGAAAGAATCTCCAAACAGTATCATCTCTCTAATGGCTAAGTCTCCGGAGAATATTTGAGTCAAGCTTGGCAAACTCGTCTGGAGGATGGTTTGGATGATGAGAGGACTGGCCAGGGGTGGTGGGTGATTTGAAGACACAGGAAAGGCTCACGAGGCCCATATACCTTCCCAGTGAGATCGTTTGCGCCATCGCCATGGTGATCCTGCAGCTGGCACCGCAGTTCTGGCCTCTGGGGCCTACACCTGCATCTGGGAGCTGATTGGCCGTCTCTAAAGAGCTGGGTGAAATCATCCCAACAGAGAAAAAGACTGAAGCTTACGATTTTGAAGTTCAGCCAAGCCATTAGGAAGAGAAGAAACCGATGATCACACTAGGATAGGGATGCCTGCCTGGGCCTGTGGAATAGCCTACAGCTATAGTCCTGAGAAGAACTCACTAAAGCTTCTGAGAATCAATAGAGATTCTACTGTATAGAAGGAAAAGGCTGAATTTCACAGAAGAAGGCTTGAAAATCTCATCCCTTCCGGCCCCTCATTTTTTCCCTTCCTTGTGCTACCCCTAAGCACATTTCTTTTTTTAAATTTTTTAAAAATACATTTTTATTGATTTCAGAGAGGAAGGGAGAGGGAGAGAGAGATAGAAACATCAGTGATGAGAGAGAATTGCTGCCTCCTGCACGCCCCCTACTGGAGATTGAGCCCACAACCCGGGCATGTGCCTTTGACCGGAATCAAACCCGGGACCCTTTAGTTCGCAGACCCATGCTCTATCCACTGAGCCAAACCAGCTAGGGCCAAAGCACATTTCTGTGTGTGTTTCCTTAAGAGGGTGTGGTCTACATAGGTGATTGGAGCAGAGATGCCAGGGTGTGCCCTGATGGGCCAACCCTGGGGGCTGACATTGAAGTCCAGGGTGACATGCACAGTTAGCACAAGGCACGCCTTTAGGATCAGAGGTGACGTGGAATGGAAGTTAAATGTGGGCCGTGGCGTCAGACCTGGCTGTGAACCACACCCCTAAGGGATGGCGACAAAAATATGATTAGGATCGCCCAGCTGGCCTGGCTCAGTGGTTAAGCGTCAACCCATGAACCAGGAGGTCGAGGTTCGATTCCCAGTCAGGGGACATGCCTGGGTTGGGGGCTCAATCCCTAGTGTCGGGTGTGCAGGAGGCAGCCGAACAATGATTCTTTATCATCATTGATGTTTCTATCTCTCCCTCCCTCTCCCTTCCTCTCTGACATCAATTAAATAAATAAATAAATAAAAGGTTGACCACATGTGAGTGACTTAGATGTGATTAGCCCATAATGGGACCCATCCCAGCCTTACCATCTGTTATGGGCTGAATCGTGTCCTCCCAAAATTCATATTGAGTCCTAACCCCAGTACCTCATAACAGGACCTTATTTGGAGATAGAGTCTAGTAGACAGAGGTAATCAAGTTACAAGGAGATCATTGGGGAGGGAAGGGGGGGACCCTAATTTCAGTTGACTGGTGTCCTTGTAAAAGGGGACATTTGGCTGTAGCTGGTTTGGCTCAGTGGATAGAGCGTCGGCCTGCGGACTGAAGGGTCCCAGGTTCGATTCCAGTCAAGGGCACGTGCCCAGGTTGCAGGCTCCATTCTCAGTAGGGGGGCATGCAGGAGGCAACCGATCCATGATTCTCTCTCATCATTGATGTTTCTATCTCTCTCTCCCTTCCTCTCTGAAATCAATAAAAATGTATTTTAAAAATAAAAATAGCCCTAACCGGTTTGGCTCCGTGGATAGATCATCAGCCTTCGGACTCAAGGGTCCCAGGTTCAATTCTGGTCAAGGGTATGTACCTTGGTTGCGGGCACATTCCCAGTAGGGAGTATGCAGGAGGCAGCTGATCAATGTTTCTCTCTCATCGATGTTTCTAACTCTCTATCTCTCTCCCTTCCTCTCTGTAGGAGATCAATAGAATATATTTTTAAAAAATAAAAATAAAAAAGGGGACATGTGGGCACAGGCGTGCCCAGGGGGAAGACCATGTGAAGAGGCAGGATCCACAAACCCAGCCGAGAGGCCTGTCCTGAGCTTCCCTCACAGCCCTCGGAGGGAACCAGCCCGGCCCACACCTTGACTTTGGACTTTGGGCCTCTAAACTGGGAGACAATACAGTTCTGTTGTTCAGGCCACCAGCCTGCGGTGCTTCATTACAGCTGCCCACCGCGCACTCATAGGGGATCCCGCTGTCCAGCAGCGGCCCCATTTCTGGGCTGAGGAGCCGGAACCGGAAACTGGGGAGTGAGTCGAGCCCAAGAGAGGAGTGTGTTGCCTCTTCGGACAGGAACTGGCCCTCCTTTTCCGGCCTCAGCTTTTCCTTGGATGTGAAGCTGCAGAGCATTATCAGCATCCCTCGTCTGTCCGTGCGGATTAGACGCCGTCTCTCTGAGGAGGTGGTAATTGTTCGCAGGGTTTTTAAGCGGATTCCCGCACATTTGAAATGTTGCCGTATTTAGTGTGTCTTGTGAATGTCAATAAGAAATAACATTGACAAAAACGAGCAGCAGATCCCTTGTTGTGAGTTTCAAGTTGAGCACAGCTGAAGAAGATGCGAAAATCGCACGCGAATATTAATCTGCCATATGTAAGCCCTCTTGGAATTGTTTTTCTCAGAGCTATCGACACAATTTAGCCGCCCTGTCGCCATCCCCGGGTGTTTATTTCATTACATATATTTAAAAATATACATATATATATGTATATATATATGTATATTGATTTCATAGAGGAAGGGATTGGGGAGAGAGAGATGGAAACATCAATGATGAGAGAGAATCATTGATCGGCTGCCTCCTGCACGCCCCCTACTGGGGATCGAGCCCGCAACCCGGGCATGTGCCCTTGACCAGAATCGAACCCGGGACCCTTCAGTTCCCCAGGCCGACGCTCTATCCACTGAGCCAAACCAGCGCGGGCCATGATACGTTGAATGGACTCTGCTGTGCATTGCACTGGATGGGGAATATCCCCCAATGGGTCTTCACCATTTCTTTACTTTGTTCGTTTGCAGGAAACTTTGACTGGGTAGGGAACGACTTCACCCAGAATGCGGGCACGGGCCTCGTCATCAACCAAGCAGACGCGAGGAATAACACGAGCATCATTAAGCAGCTGAAAGATGTGTTTGAGAGGGACTGGTACTCACCCTACGCCAGGAGCTTACAGCCCACCAAACAGCCGAACTGCTCCAGCCCGTCCAGTCTCAGCCCTCCCTCCAACAAAACTGCCACGTACAACCCGCGTGGGAAGGACCCCGCGTGCGTATAGCGTGACCGGACACACTGACGGACCACTTGTGTTTCGTATTTATATCTAAAGGACGGGAGGAGAGAAGAACCATTTGATATGTCTTTTTTTAGGGGAAAAGCACACTTATTAAAAAATAATCTTTGAATGCCATGCCCCATCTAACCACATCTTAGGGGCTTGTATACTCCCTTGAAGACTTTTGTATTTGTCACTTCTGACGGAGAATGTCATTCCGGCTTGGGAGTTCGTTTTCACGTTCGCATACCAATTTGAAGGCTTGGATGCCTCTTCCTTTCTAGTTTTAGAACATTTCTGCTGGCCCACGTGGTCAGTTCTTAGGAAGCTTCGCATGAGGCAGGCTCTTTGCTATTCTGCAACCACTGGCTTAGAGGAGAGGGAGGGTTTCGCCTTGGACAAGAGGTCAAGCCAAGTCTTCATCCTTGTCAACCATCTCCAAGACCTGTCCCGTCATCTAGGCGTGAACTCCCCATGCCATCCTTAAGAAACTCTTGGAAAATACTTTTCTTGCCTCCGTATTCATTTTCTTCTAAGACCATAGATTTTCTTTTGTGTCATTTTCTCTTCTCATAAAATGTTCTCATGCTCTAGTGTGGCTATACTTACCTCAACACTAGTTCCAAGTGGGATATGTTCTGAAAGTGTATGAATTCCTCAGAATGGGTACAAAATGGACATAGCAATTATTTTTCAAATATATTTTTATTGATTTCAGAGAGGAAGGGAGAGGGAGAGAGAGAAACATCAACGATCGGCTGCCTCCTGCACGCCCCGCCCTGGGGCTAGAGCCCGCAACCCGGGCATGTGCCCTGACTGGGAATCGAACCGTGACCTCCTGGTTCCTAGGTCGACGCTCAACCACTGAGCCACGCCAGCTGGGCAGAAATAGCAATCTTTAATTTCCACCTTTCAACTGCATTTTTCTCTAGCAAGTTGATATTTTAAAACCATAGCCAGGAATCTGCATCCTTTCTCTCAAGCTCGGAAAAATTACGTAGCCCCTGCTAATAGCCAGCAAACGATTAAGTCTGTATTATGGAGACTGAAGTCATTTTTCACATTTTTGTTTACTCTATGGTATTAGAAAGGAACGACCTCTATGGGTCAGTGGATTTGAATTTCTTTAGAATCGTTATGCTGTTAAGAGTATGCCAGCAAATGTTTAATAGAGCTATTTAATATACCTTCTGCTATTTAATACACCTTCTGCTGTTTAATATACCTTCTGCTATTTACTATACCAAATGCTTTTCAGAGAAATGCAATTTAAATACTGTGCTTAACATATTTTACTAAGAAACAAGAATATTGGATTATTGTTCTATACTGTCATTGTGTGTTGTTTTCTATCTATCCGACCTATAACCCTATATTAACAGAGACTGTTGCTACACTCGAGAGAGCCCTGGCCTCCCCACCGCCCAGAGCAGGCGGCCTCGGGACGCCCAGTCTTACTGTGGCTCCTGGCTCTCTCCTTGGCCTCGGGTTTCTGTTGGTCATGTAGGGACAGTACCTACTCACCTACCTCGCGAAGATGTTGTTACGGTAGGAAATATTTATAACTTGTTTTGGAATCAAAAGAACCTATATAAATGCTAAGCATTACGATGTAGAATCTGTTTCTTGAAATCATCTTTGTGGGATCCTCAGAGAATCCATGCCAGGTTCTCCCAGAGAGCCTGCAAGGGAAACCCAACTCACAGCTTCCGGTTGCAAGTGGGGAGGGACACGGGGACACGGAACGCCTGCTGGACATGGGATGGTCATCGTCACTTTGGGTCACTTTGGCATCAGTAACATCAATGTAATACCTGACATTGTGCGAAGGATTGTCCGTTAGGACTGGCAGGGACATGTGTTTTCAGAGCAAAAGAATGCCATCTTAGTTACTTTTTTCTATTTCTAGAGATTTATTTCTAATGTGCCGTAGAGTGATGGGGAAAGCCATAAATCTTATCCATTGGGTTTACTTGGTGTAGAATGGCTATTGTTGGGCATCTAGCAGTTAGATAACTTCCTTTCTTGTTGTTTCCAAATAGCGCTTTACTGGATATTTAACAGATAGTGGAGAGAGCCATACTTTTTTTTTAATATGTCTTTATTGATTTCACAGAAGCAAGGAGAGGAAGAGATAGAAACACCAATGATGAGAGAGAATCATTGATTCGGCACACCTCCTACTGGGTATTGAGCCCGCAACCCAGGCATGTACCCTTGACCTAATCGAACCCGGGACCCTTCAGTCCACAGGCCAGTGCTCTATCCACTGAGCCAAACCAGCTAGGATGAGAGCTGCATTTTTTGAAGGGTAGCGTGTTTTTATGAATAACTGAGGTATTCTTACTGAATTTCTTCATCCAAAATGACCAGCCCATAAGACTCTACACATTTACCAATACCAACCCTTGTTTGAGTGGAGTCACCCAGCCAGGCACCCAGTAAAGTAGAGATGGTTTTGGTGATGGGTTTGTTTGTTTGTTTGTTTGTTTGTTTGTTTTTTAAGAAAGGAGACAAAGAGGAGGCATGGAGACAAACATACCACACTCCATCCCGGACAAAGCAAGCCCCCTGGGCTGATTATGAAAAGTACATAGGAAGGGAGGAGAGATGACTGCGTCCTTGTTAGTTCTCAGGTTGACTCTAGTATTTGTCACAGCCATAGAACAAGCATCAGCTTGAGGTAAGGGACCCCCTTCACTGTCATTATCTTTGGTTTTTTGTTTTGTTTTAAATATATTTTTATTGATTTCAGAGAGGAAGGGAGAGGGTGAGAGAGATAGAAACATCAATGATGAGAGAGAATCATTGATCGGCTACCTCCTGCTCGCCTTGTACTGAGCCAGCAACCCACGCATGTGCCCTGACCAGGAATCGAACCATGACCTCCCGGTCCATAGGTCAATGTTCAACCACTGAGCCACACCAGCCGGACTGTCACTATCTTTGCATAAGATAGAGGAAGAGAATTATGTCCTTTATGAATTGACCATCATTGCCATTTCCCTCTGAGCCCCAACAGAAAGGGAGCCCCAGGAACGGTGCCTCGGGATTTTCTGCCACACACCAGCAGTATCAGAGTCCTCCTTGGCCCAGCAGCCCCCCGACTCCCATTCAAGGTGGTCCGGGCAGCAGTGACCAGGCCACTGACTCCAGGAGGCCACGCTGGCCTGTGGCAGCCAGGAAAACAGCGCCTGTGCAGTGTCCCTAAGAGGACAGTTGATTCCACAGAACTTTCTTTTTCCTTCGGACGCTTTGTCTACCCCTCGAGACGTGGTCTTCCTCATTCATTTACTTTTTTAAAATTTTTATTGATTTCCGAGAGGAAGGGAGAGGGAGAGAAAGATAGAAACATCAATGGTGAGAGAGAACCATTGATCAGCTGCCTCCTGCACACCCCCTACTGGGGATTGTGCCCGCAACCCAGGCACCTACCCTTGACCCAAATCGAACCTGGGACCTTTCAGTCCGCAGGCTGATGCTCTATCCATTGAACCAAACTGGCTAGGGCTTCCTCTCATTCAGACTGTGTCTGTACTTAATAGACTACCGACTTTCTTTTTTCTTTTTTTTTCTTTTTTTAAATATATTTTATTGATTTTTTACAGAGTGGAAGGGAGAGAGACAGAGAGTTAGAAACATCGATGAGAGAGAAACATCGATCAGCTGCCTCCTGCACATCTCCTACTGGGGATGTGCCCGCAACCCACGTACATGCCCTTGACCGGAATCGAACCCGGGACCCTTCAGTTCGCAGGCTGACGCTCTATCCACTGAGCCAAACCGGTTTCGGCGACTACCGACTTTCATTTCCCCCACAAACATCCCAGGAACTAGCGACCAGGGCATGAGGGAAGGAAAGCAAACATAATCTGAGAGCATATTTTAGATTTCTGTGCCACCTCCATTAACCTAGTGCCTTATTTATCCTCGAGCGTGGATTGGAAACAGTGACTCACTACCTGAGAACGCTTCTGCTCACTGTGGACCTACTGATGGGCTTTCAGATGAAAACTTGCCTGTGAATATCAGCAGAGTTCATACAGCCTGCTCTCCTTCCAAGCCACACAGTCGGATCACCCCCAAATCCAATCATTGCTACACATTCAGATCCCCGTACTGTTGGTTGGTCCCTACTGCACTGCCACAGGCCACTCACATATCAAATAATCACATCACCGCTTGTCAAACCACTGGAGAGGACATGGAACATTCTGGATGATATCCAGGCTCTGAAAACAGCGCATGTTGAGTACCTGAAAATGATAGAAGTGAGGCATACCAAAAATGTCCCCCCATCTTGAAAGGACCTTCTAGAGCAGTGATGGTGAACCTATGAACCTATGACATGCATATCAGAGGTGACACGCAAACTCATTTTTTTGGTTGATTTTTCTTTGTTAAATGGCATTTAAATATACAAAATAAATATCAAAAATATTAGTCTTGCCCTGGCCAGTTTGGCTCATTGGATAGAGCATCGGCTTGGAGACTAAAGGGTCCCAGGTTCAATTCCAGTCAAGGGCATATACCTTGGTTGCAGGCACATCCCCAGCAGGGGGTGTGCGGGAGGCAGCTGATCAATGCTTCTCTCTCATCAATGTTTCTAACTCTCTATCCCTTTCCCTTCCTCTCTGTAAAAAATCAATAAACTATATTTTATATATATATATATATATATATATATATATATATATATATATATGTCTTTGTTTTACTATGGTTGCAAATATCAAAAAATTTCTAGAGAGAAAACCAAGATGGCGGTATAGGTAAACACCAGAAATTGCTGCCTCACACAACCACTTCAAGAAAACAACTAAAAGACAAAACGGACATCATCCAGAACCACAGGAAGGCTGGCCGAGTGGAAATTCTACAACTAGAAGGAAAGAGAAAAGCACACTGAGACTCAGAGGAGGTGCGGTGTGGAAGTAAAGTGCAGAGGTACGGAGGCGCATGCGGAAAGGGCTGGCAACTGAGGACACCGCTGTCTTTTTCAGTCGGGAGGGAGACTCAAGCTCCCGACTGCTCTGAACTCCAGTTCCGGGCGAGTCTCTGGGGACCCAGACTCATACGGGGAGACACTGGACTGTCTGGCATCAGGCAGAACTTGAGGCGGCTTTCTCTAAGAGGCTCTTGCAGCGATTACCGCGGAACAGTAAGACCCGGGTCCTCTTAGGGTAGGGCTGAGGTTCAGCCATAGCTGTTTGCTCTGCCCTATTGATTCCCTGAGACCCCACCCCACCCAGGCTGTGTGCAGAGGCTTTTGCATATGAATGCCCTGGCCCTTTGCAATCTAAAATTACCTAACTGCAGCTTGGCCAGAGAAACCCAGATCATCCAAAAAGAAGGCCCAAGGCCCCACAGCAGCTTGCATTGCTTCACAGCTGGGCCTCATCTAGGCACCTCCAAACTCCAAACAAAGAAAAGGCATCTGCAGATCTCTCCATAGGTCCTGCTGGGTAGCCTCAGGCAGAGGCTAGATTAGCACCTCCTTAGAGATCCAAGAGCCAGTCTACCCCTCAGTGGTCAGAGTGGGCCGTCCAGATTACAACTCCTCAGATCCATAATGGACACACGCAGGGGGCAGGCTCAGTGAGCACCAAAGCCCCACTAAAGCAAGTCTTGCCCCATAAGGGTGTCTCCAGCACAGAAGTTCTCCCACCATAACCACAACTGATTCTCATAGCCAGTTGGCCTGGAGGTCAATTCCTCCCAATGATAACTACAACAATCAAGGCTTAACTACAACAAGACTGTGCACAAAGCCCACAAAGGGGTGCACCAAGAGTGTCCACCTCAGGTAACTGGGGAGGCTGAGCCACTGGGCCCTATAGGACACCTAGCACACAAAGCCACTCTACCAACACAGGGAAGCAGCCAAAATGCGGAGACAAAGAAACAGGTCACAAATGACAGAAATGGAGGAAAACAAACTACTGGATATAGAGTTCAAAACCACACTTTTAAGGTTTTTCAAGAATTTTCTAGAAACCGCCGATAAATTTAGTGAGACCCTCGAGGATATGAAAAAGGACCAACTAGAAATTAAGCATACACTGACTGAAATAAAGACATATGAAAACATGCTCAAAGTCACTAATTATACGAGAGATGCAAATCAAAACGACAATGCGGTATCACCTCACACCTGTCAGAATGGCTATCATCAACAAATCAACAAACAACAAGTGCTGGAAAGGATGTGAAGAAAAAGGAACCCTCCTGCACTGCTGGTGGGTATGCAGACTGGTGCAGCCACTATGGAAGATAGTATGGAGTTTCCTCAAAAAACTAAAAATGGAACTCCCATTTGACCCTGTGATCCCCCTTCTAGGAATATATCCCAAGAAACCAGAAACACCTATCAGTAAGGATATATGCACCCCTATGTTCATAGCAGCACAATCCACCATAGCTAAGATTTGGAAACAGCCTAAGTGCCCATCAGCAGATGAGTGGATTAAAAAACAGTGGTACATCTACACAATGGAATACTACGCTGCGGTAAAAAAGAAGGAACTCTTGCCTTTTTTAACAGCATGGATGGAACTGGAGAGCATTATGCTAAGTGAAATAAGCCAGTCAGAGAAAGATAAAT